GAATCATGGAACACTACATCAAAAAATTAATTAATTAATTAAAAAAATAAAAAAATAAAAATCTTAGAATAAAAAAGACTTTAGCAATAGAAAGGAACTTCCTCAATCTGACAAAGGGCATCTATAAAAAACCTACAGCTAGCATCATACTTAATAGTGAAAAATTGAATGCTTTCTCCCTAAGATAAGCAACAATACAAGGATATCCATTTTCACTACTTCTATTCAACACTGTATTTATGGGGTGCCTGGGTGGCTCAGTCGTTAAGCATCTGCCTTCAGCTCAGGTCATGATCCCAGGGTCCTGGGATCGATCCCCGCATCGAGCCCCGCATCGAGCCCCGCATCGGGCTCCTGCTCAGCGGGAAGCCTGCTTCTCTCTCTCCCAGTACCCCTGCTTTTGTTCCCTCTCTCACTCTGTCAAATAAATAAATAAAATCTTTAAAAACAGAAACAAAAACAAAAACACTGTATTTGTGATTCTACCTGGGGAAATTAGGCAAGAAAAAAATATAAAAAAGGCATCCAAGGGGTGCCTGGGTGGCTCAGTCATTAAGCATCTGCCTTTGGCTCAGGTCATGATCTCAGGGTCCTGGGATCGAGCCCCGCATCTGGGTCCCTGCTCAACGGGAAGCCTGCTTCTCCCTCTCCCACTCCCCCAGCTTGTGTTCCTTCTCTCACTGTGTCTCTTTCTGTCAAATTAATAAATAAAATCTTTAAAAGGCATCCAAATTGAAAAAGGAGTACAACTATCTTACTTGCAGATGACATGATCCTGCATATAGAAAATCCTAAGGAATCCACATACACACACAAAAAACTATTATAATGAGTTTAGCAAGGGTGCAAGAGAAAAGGATATATAAAAATCAATCATATTCTATATATTAGCAATGAATAATCCAAAATGAAATTAAGAAAAAATTCCCCTCACAAAAGCATCAAAAAGAGTAAAACACCAAGGAATAAGTTTAACAAAAAATTGCAAGACCTGTATACTGAAAAATACAAAACACCGTCGAAAGAAATGGAAGAAGATCTAAAAGAATGGGAAGACATTCCCATGTTCATGGTTTGCAAGATTTAATATTGTTAAGACGGCAATACTCCCCAAATTGATCTATAGATTCAACATAATCTCTATCAAACTTCCACCTGTTTTTTTTTTGTTTGAGAAACTGACTAACCAACCCTAAAATTCATATGGAAATGCAAGGGACCCAGAATAGCCAAAATAATCCTGAAAAAAGGACAAAGTTGGAGGACTCACATTTCCTGATTTCAAAATACAATAAACAGCCATAGTAATCAAGATACTATGGTATTGGCATGAGGATAGACATACATCAATGGAATGGAATCAAGAATCCTAAACATACCCTCTTACATTTATGCTCAAATAATTTTTTTAAAAGATTTATTTATTTATTTGAGAGAGAGAGCATGGCGGGAGGAGCAGAGGGAAAGGGAGACTCAACTAGACTCCTCACTGAGCGCGGAGCCTGAGATCTCAACCTGAGATCACCACCTGAACTGAAACCAAGAGTCGGACACTTAATCAACTGCACCACCCAGACACCCTCAACTAACTTTTGATAAAGGTGCCAAAACTATATAGAAAGAACAGTTTTTTCAATAAATGGTGTTGAGACAACTGCATAGCCACATGCAAAAGAATGAAGTTGAGCCCCTTCCTCACACTATATACCAAAATCAATTTAAAACTGATCATATACTGGAAGTATAGGTGCAGAGGGTGGGGTTGGGGGGCTCTGCTTCTGGTGGCAGGGTCTAGGGAAGAAAGAGTAGACCAGTAGACCAGTGAAGGTGGAAAGCCCCTGAAATAGCCAAAGAAGCAGGCCAAGGAAATGAACTAGGAAGATAAGGCATTTAAGCAGAAACAAACAGAGAAGACACTCAAGGGGCTAAAAGTGAAAGCTACAGGAAAGGATCTTCTGGCCATAGTTGGAATTAAGAAATCTGGCAAAAAATAAGCTGCTCCTTGTGCCTGAGGCAATGGTGATCCTTAATTCCAAAATTCCTGTTTACACATCTAGATTATCTGTCATATCTGTTGCCACCTACAGCTAGAATAAAGTGTCCTCTTGGACCCTGTTGTACATTTACGAATACATTTTTGTAAAAAAAAAAAAAAATGTATTGTATAGTGGCTCATCTTCTCTTTAGTTCTTCTCACTCGGCCATTTCTACTTTAGCTCTGAGTCAGAGCAAACCCAGCCTAGAATCCTGCCAAAGACTACCCATTAATCTTTGATCTACCCCAATTCTGTACCACCTGGAATTAAAGCAACTCATTGGGGCGGGGGGGGGGGAGGCTGTGATCATAGATCTAAATGTCAGAGCTAAGGTTAAAATAAAACTCTTAGAAGAAAAAAATGTATGAGTAATTTTTCAGGTTAGGCAATGATTTCTGAGATATGACACTAAAACTATAAGCAACAAAAGAAAAAAAGATAACTGGACTTCATCAAAATTAAAAGCTTCTGTGCTTCAAAATATATCATCAAGAAAGTAAAAAAGAAAATCTATAGGAGAAAATATTTAGCATTATTTAAAATATTAGTATTACTATTATTACTATTTTGTTTTATACATAAAAATATTTTAATATTTTAGTAGTGTTTTAGTAAATATCATATAACTGATAAGGAGCTATACCCAGAATATATAAAGAACACATGCAACTCAAGAATAGAGACAAATAATCCAATTTTTAAATGGGCAAAAGAATTGAATAGACATTTTTCCAAGACAAATGAATGGCCAATAAGCTATGAAAAGATGCTCAACACCATTAATTACTAGGGAAATGCAAATCAAAACCACATTGACCTACCACTTCACATCCACTAGGATGGCTAAAATAAGAGACAGACAATAACAGGTATTGACAAGGATGTAGAGATACTGGAATCCTCATTAGTTGCTGATAGCAATTTAAAATAGTGCAGAACTTTGAAAAACAGTTTGGCAGTTCCTCAAAATGTTAAAATTGGAGTTAACAAATGACCCAGGAATTTCACTCCTAGGTATATATCTGAGAGAAATGAAAACATAAGCCTACACAAAAACTTGCACATAAACATCCATAGCTGTATGATGCATAATAGTCAAATGTGGAAACAACCCAGATGTCTGTCAACTGATAAAGAGGTAAACAAAATGTGGTATTCCTACACAATGGACTATAAAAAGGAATAAAGTACTGATTCATGCCACAAGATGAATGAACCTTGAGAACATTATGCTAAGAACCCAGTCACAAAAGACAACATATTATAGGATTCTATTTACAGGAAATGTCCGGAATAGGTCAATCCACAGAGAGAGAAAGTATATTAGTGGTTGTCAGAGCTGGGGAGAGGTAGAAATAGGAAGTGAGAGGTATTGGGAATAACTGTTAATAGGCAGAGGGTTTCTTTATTAGGTGATGAATATGTTCTAAAATTAGACAGTGGTAATAGTTGCACAGTTTTATGAATATACTAAAAATCGAACTGAACACTTTAATAAAAGGATGAATTGTATGGTATATAAATTATATGTCAATAAATCTGTTACTTTTTAAATTACAAGGAGTGAGTCGTACCACCTTTTCTAGTTATTCCCTAATATTAGATTTTGAAAATTACATAAAGAAAGAAAAGCAGTTTTTTTTTTTAACTCAACATTAAACATCACTAAGAAAATGCTAGTTATAAGTTAAGGCCCTAGCAAAATGCTTACCTTGCCACATTGTTTGTAGGAAATTCCCTTTTGGTTACAATACTCATAGATGAGGGCTGCACCTTGTACACACAATTTAGCTTTCAGAGATTCAGGTTTATAATAAATTCCACTATGTATGACACCACTGTTATGTCCAGTCTGGTGAACAGCTACCGGACAAGAGAAAGAGTGTAAGAGTAACTACACAATGCATACAAAACCTACAAAGTGGAGGAACAGACATAGTTGAAGCCATTAGAGACCACATTATTGAACATTCTGTCTGAGTTCGTTCTTACAGGCAGGGCACGGGTAACTTCCTCTACTAGCCATCCCTGGTGTCCATGCCACATCCCCCCAGCCCATCTTTGATTTCAGTTACAACTCTGGTGCACAAATCCACCTCTCACCACCAGCAAACCACTTCAAGGGCTCACTATAGCTCTGGACATTCTGCATGCCCATTCCTAACAAGTGGAGGAATGAGGGGAGAGAAGACTATGCCTCAACATCCCAGGGGTAATCATCAGCCAGTAGAAACATGAGCTGATGAATAAATGAGCACAATACTTAGAAATGTTGATGTAGCTCCTCAGAGGCCCCAGAGGAATCAAGCTCACAACAGCAACCATGATAAAGTACCCTCCTGTGGCTTTTCCTCCTTCCTGGTTTACTCTCCACATCCCCTCGCTCCTGCCTCCTAAACAACCTTTCAAATAAATCACCTATGCTCAAGTTCTAGTCCTCGGCTCTGCTTCATGGAGAAACCTAACCAGGGTACTAACACCAACATTCAACATGAAAGATGTAGGATTGAAGAAATGAGCAGGTATTCAGGTTAAGCCCAAAGAGCAACATTGATATTATACATACCTAAATCTTTCTCCTTTTCCAGAACACCAATGGAAAGTGCTGGATGTCGCAGGATGAGTGCTCTGGCAGAGGCGAGGCCCACAATTCCGCCACCAATAATGACTACATCAAATGAACTTTAAGAGAAAGTCACCTTTAAAGTAATGCATGTTTACAGTAGATCTCATAAAACTCCGTGTGCATAATTTTCATCATCAGTGAACAGTTAAACTATTAATTTGTAATCATGAAAACCAAATATTTATTGGGCTTTATGTTACTGGCTTCTTAACAGAAAAAGCCTTTAAGAATTAGAGGCACTGCCGGGTCAGTAGTATAAACAGCTACACCCAGCAGGCAGGGTAACTAGTTACCTAAACTGCTCTCCATCTCTAAATCTCCACAGCCCTCTGTTGGGGCTGGCTGCATCTGTGATTACTCTGTTAGGCATCACACTCTTCTCTACCATCTATTCATTTGAAATTCAAGGGCAGGGGCACCTGGGTGGCTCAGTCTGTTAAGCATCCGACTTGGTTTCGGCTCAGGTCATGATCTCAGGGTCCTGGGATTGAGCCCCGTGCTCAGTAGGTAGCCTGCCTGAGGATTCTTTATCCTTTCCCCTCTGTTCCTCCCCCTGCTTGTGCATGCAGGCTGTCTCTCTAATAAAATCTTTAAAAGAATAAATTAGGAAGGGCATGTATAGTCTATCTAATTTGGCAATGAGAAGCAGAAAAGTCTACCTTTAGCACCTACCACATGGCGAAAAAATCTAGTCTTATAGGAACATGGCCAATCTTGCTTTTTCTACACCCCACCTATTTCATTTCTTCCTGAATTAAGTTATTTTGATGCAAATCCTAAACATTACCTGTAAATATTTTAATATGTTATTTCTAAAAGGCCTCTTTAAAACATCCCCACAATACCAGTATTCTAATTTTTTAAATTATTTTTTTAGTTTTTTATTGTTCTTGTTTTTTAATTTTAACTGGCTCCATGCTCAAAGTGGATCTTGAACTCACGACCCTGAGAGTAAGAGTCACATGTTCTACCAACTGAGCCAGCCAGGCACCCCCAGTATTCTAATTTTCAAAAAATCTACAATAAACATTTTATATCATCAAATATTCACCATAAAACTTTTAGAAGAAAACAAAGGAGAAAACCTTTGGGATCTAGAGCTAAGTGAAGTAGAAGACACCAAAAGCATGATCCATATAAAAAAATTTGATAAACTGGACTTCATCAAAATTAAAAATTTTGTTCTGCAAAAGACCTAAAGAGGATAAGAAGACAACTAACAGACTGGGAGAAAATACTTGCAAACCACATATCTGACAAAGGACTCATATCTAGAATATATAAAGAACTGTCATATAAACCATTTAGAAAATGGGCAAAAGATACGAACAAAACATTTCATCAAAGAGGGAAGATATATAGACGGCAAATAAGCACATCAAAAGATGTTCACTACCATTAGTCATTAGGGAAATGCAAATTAAAACTACAAGGAGATATCTCTACACCCCTATTAGAATGGCTAAAATTTTTTAAAAAATGGTAACACCAAATGCTGGTGAGAATGAGGAGCTGGATCACTCACACACTGCTGGTGTGTGTAAAATAGTACAGCCACCCTGGAAAAAGAGTATAGCAGTTTCTTAAAAAACTAAACATAAATCTTTGCCACTGTGTAACACGCTCCACTCCAGTCAGATAGTTGCTATAGGCCTTGATGGTAGCACAACTTCCTTTGTTCTATTCTCGCTCGTACATAGGAAAAACAGATCTTTGGGCTTATATCTTACCCAATTTGGGTCACATCATTGGTCTCCCACTCTTCCTCAGGCCATTCTTTGGATTGTTGAAGATGTTAAAAGATATAATGGTCTCTTTTTGAGTCCCAAATATGGACTCCACTCATCTCAAGTCTTTCTGTAAGGGAAATTCTAATATTCAGAACCTGGATCCCAGGTGCATGACTTCATGTTTTATACTCTCTTGGGAAGCTCTGGTGTACTTTTCTTTTATAAATCAATACCAATATTTCTCAATGGATATTCCTTGTATGGCCCTACATTAAAAAACGCGCCTGGTGGCTCAGTTGGTTAGGCACCTGCCTTCAGCTCAGGTCATGATCCTGGGGTCCTGGGATCGAGCCCCGCATCGAGCTCCCTACTCAGCAGAGAGTCTGCTTCTCCCTTTGTCCCTTCCCCTGCTTGTGCATGCACTCTCTCTCTCTCAAATAAATAAAATCTGTAAAAATAAATAAAATAAAATATAAACCATGCTTACAATGAAAAAAAGTTAAGCATGTACTAACTAAATATGTCTTAGCAACTACACTCTTGGGCATTTATCTCAGAAAAATAAAAAACTATGTTCATACAAAAACCTGTACATAAATGTTCACAGCAGCTTTGTTCATAATAGCCCAAAATTATAAACGGTCCAGATATCCTTCAACTGGTGAATGGTCAAACTGTATTACATCCATACCATGAAATGCTACTCAACAATTAAAAGGAACCCACTCTCATTATAGGCAACACCATGGATGAATCTCAAAGACATCATGCTGGGGCGCCTGGGTGGCTCAGTCGTTAAGCATCTGCCTTCCGCTCAGGTCATGATCCCAGGGTCCTGGAATCTAACCCCGCATCGGGCTCCCTACTCCGCAGGAAGCCTGCTTCTCCCTCTCCCACTCCCCCTGCTTGTGTTCCCTCTCTCGCTGTGTCTCTCTCTGTCAAATAAATAAAATCTTTTTTAAAAAAAAGACATCATGCTGTGTGAAAAAAGCCAATCTAAAAGGTTATATATTGTGACTCCACTTATAAAACATTCTCAAAATGACAAAATTTTAGAGCTAGAGAATAGATTAGTGGTTGCCAAGGGTTAGGAAGGGTGGAAAGATGGGATGTGAATATAAAGGGATTGTAACACAAGAAATGTCTTTCTGGTAATGAAACATTTCTCTATTTTGTGGTGGCAGTTACACAAATTAACACGATTAAATTGCACAGAAACACACACAAATGAGTGCATGTAAAAACTGATGAAATCTGAACAAGGTCTGTGGATTGTGACAATGTCAATTTCCTAGTTTTGATATTGTACTATAGTTAGGTAAGATGCTATCACCGGGGTAAATTGGCTGAAGGATACATAAAATCTGGTTTAGGTTTTTTTTTTTCCAACTTCCTGTGGACCTGTAATTATTTCAAAATAAAAAGTATAAACAAAACCTTCACTAGCCCTACTTTTCTTCTCTTAAGAAAAGCAATCCCCAAATAATTGTCTACATACCCCCCACTATGACTCACAAATCTTATCCCACTCTAAACCCCTCCAAACCACTAACACACAGCAGCCAGTCAACTTTTGAAACCTTAACACTTAATCACTCCCTCTTCTTAAAAACCCTTTAAAAGCCTCCCAATGCTCTTAGAATAAAATCCAATGTGGTTAAAAGAAAATAAAATCCCTGCTGTGATGTAGCCTCTCTCCAGTGTCACTCCACACCATCTCTGTTCCACTAACAGTCACACTCATCTTGTCCACCTTCTAGTTCTTGAGATAGCCAAGAGCTTTCCAGCTTTAAAGCCTTAGCATAAGCCACTCCCTCTACACAGAGCAGAGAAAGACGGTGGTTTCTAATGTGACCTCCGAACTTCAAATCACAGGACACTTATTTGTGCAGGCTTTGATTAGCAACTGAGCTGCTTCTCACAGGGGCTACTCCATGCAATGCTTGCCAGGAACTGACTGTTTTAAGAACGGTTTCAGGTCTTCCAAGCAACACCAGAGATGCCAGCAAATAAACAGTATATTTGATTGCTTAATGTGGTAGGTCCTTTTAAGCCTTAAAACGACCACGTACGGGAGAGACTAGGATCCTAATCACAGTTGAGCCGTTCAGGAGCTTAAGTGACCCACCTAAGAACTGAATAGGAAGTGGAGGGGTGGTATTCAAACCCAGAACTGCTCTAGACCTCTCTACTCAACACTGCCTTACTCTTTTCATCCCGCACACAAACACAACGAATGAATCCTACAAGGTAACTCCTGGGATCCGAGGTTGGAGCCCAGGCTCCACAGGATCCTGACCTTCTCTCACGCCCGGGACAAGGAAGTAGAGCAGGGGCAGAGGTCCAGCAAGAGGCACCTCGGAGAGAAGCAGTAGTAGCACGGGCGACGAGAGCGGGCCAGCGGCTACTCACCGGGTGCTGGCTCTACGGCCACCCTGGCACAGCTGCCAGGGCCTCCCCTGCGCCGGCCGGCACGCCGCAGAGAAGCCCCCGGGGAAACCCCCGCGGGCCCGCCCGCAGGCACCGCTCAGGTAACGCCGCGCCGGCACCATTGCCTGCGCCCCTCCCCTGCCCTCCCTCAGCCCCCAGAACTGGCCACTCGAGCCCGACGCTGCGCGGCTCTCGGCGCCATCTAGCTCCGCCTCCCACTCAGGGGCCAATGAAGCGCGCGCTGACGCCCCACGTGAGAGTGGCGCCAGTGGCCAATGGGACGCGCGCGGCGGAGGGCGAAGGGCAGGCCGGCGGCGCCGTAGACGCGGGGCACGCTCGCTCCCTCCCTCTCTCCCTCCGGTGCTGTGAGTAGAGGAGCTAGGCCTTGAGCGAGGCGGGGTTAGGGTGGTGGTTAACGCTCTGCCCTTTTCCTTCTCCCACTGCTGGGCTGACTGAAAAGCTGGCCTGTCGAGTCTTCACCGCCCAGCGTCGTCTGGGCTTTGGGAGAAAGTCGGGGCGTGACTGGGGGTGAAAACTCTCCTTTGGGCGGGCCCAGCGGCCTGCCTGCCTCCCGCTCGGCCCGGCCCCGGCCAGTTGGAGGCCGGTTGCTGGCCACGGGCGGGCTCCTTCTCTCCCCCCGCCTCCAGGCCGAGTGCCCACTGAGGGGCGCTGCCTGTCCAGCCCTAGCCCTAGCTCCAGACGGAGGCTCTTTGTCACAGCAACGCCTGTAGCCTGCGGTCTTCTGGACTTGTTTCTGTGAGGTTCCTGGCGGTGTGCTTTCTCGGTACTGTAGATACGGAGCGCCTGGAAGAACCAGACGGCTCGGTCTCTGCCATCATTTAGCAGTCTGCTACCTTGTAAATACTGGGTCGAGATACGGTTTTAAATATGCTGTGCGGGGCTGGGTACAGCGACTCACCTGTACAGGTGACTTCACCCCGTTTCCTTATCTGTAAGGTGAGGGAGGTGGGCTGTGTAATCCCTAAAAAGTTACGTGATTCACTGTTAACCGTGGCAGTCCAACACCTGTACTCTGTGCCTGATGGCAGTTCTTAATTTTTAGGGTCAGAACAGCTGAACAGAAAAGCAGAATGTTAAAAACTTTATTGCTGGGAGGACTTTGTTTGAACTTGGTTCCAGCCATTAGTCTGGTGGCTTGGGGAAGTCATTTCGCCTCTTCGCCTCAGATTCTCCTCTGTGAACTAGGAGTGAGAGCCGTGTCCCTCTCATAGGGCTGTTGTGTGGAGTACACGAGATAAGGCTCGTGGGTGTTTAGCACAGTGAAGTACAGTTGACCCTTGAAGAGCAAAGGTTTGAACTACTCTGGTCCACTTAGAGGCAGATATTTTTCAATAAATACAGTACAGTACTGTAAGTGTATTTTCTAAGGATTTTCTTAACATTTTCTTTTCTCTAGTTTACTTTGTTATAAGAATACAGTATATGGGGCGCCTGAGTGGCTTAGGTGGTTAAGCATCTGCCTTCAGCTCAGGTCATGATCCCAGGGGCCTGGGATGAGACCCACATCGGGCTCCTTGCTCAGGGAAGACTCTGCTTCTCCCTTTCTCCCTCTGCCTCTTCCTCTAGCTCATGCTAATGTTCTCTCTCTCTCTCTCAAATAAATAAAATCTTTAAAAAAAAAAAAGAATGCAGTATAGAATACATATAACATGCAAAATACGTGTTAACGGTGTTATCTAATCAAACAGGCAGTTAAATTTGAGGGGTCAGAACTTATATGCAGATTTCAACATCTGGGGGGATGGTTGCTCAACTATCAACTGACTGGATAAATTACTGCTTTTATTATGTATACATGATTGTACTTCTTGGACAGTTGACTATTTGTGAAAACAATGTAGAATGTTACTTTTTCCTTCACAAATGAAAAAAATAAGATGGTTATTTGTTAAACTTTTTGTTTTGAGATAATTGTAGAGTCTCATACAGCTTTAAGGAACAATGGAGATCCTGTGTACCCTTTACCCATTCTTCCCCAATGCTAACATCTTGCAAAAATATAGTACAGTATCATAACCAGGAAATTGACATTGATACATTCTGTTGATCCTATTCAGATTTCCTCATTTTTACATTTGTGTGTGTATTTGGTTCTATGTAGGTTTTTTTTTTTTTTAAGATTTTTTTTATTTGACAGCACAAGCAGGGGGAATGGCAGAGGGAGAGGGAGAAGCAGGCTCCCCACTGAGCAGGAAGCCCCCCGGGGGGGGGGCCTCGATCCCAGGACCCTGGGATCCTGACCTGAGCCGAAGGCAGACACTTAACCGACTGAGCCACCCAGGCACCCCAGTTCTTTGTAATTTTTATCACGTGTAGATTGTTGTGTCACCACCACAGTCAAGCTACAACACCCTTCCATCACCACCAGGGATTCCTCCCGGGGCCCTTTTAACTATACTTCACTCCTGCAGGGCACCCCCTCCCCAGTCTGTTCTCCCTTTCTAAAATTTTGTCGTTTCAAGGATGTTCTATAAACAGAATTATAAAGTATGTAATTTTTTGGAATTAGCTTTTTTTCACTCGGCATAATCCCTTGAAATCCATCCAAATTGTTGTATGTATCAAAGGTTTATTCCTTATGGCTGAGTAGTAGTTCATGGTATGGATATACCACAATAGGTTTAACCATTCACCCACTGAAGGACATCTCAATTGTTCTAGTTTTTAGCTATTTGGAATAAAGCTGCTGTGAACATCAGTGTACTGCTTGTTGTGTGAATCTGTTTTTGTTTCTGTGGGATAAATGCCTAAGAGTCCAGTTGCTGGGTCATACATACGATAAGCACGTTTAGTTTTGTAAAAAATTGCCAAACTGTTTTCCAAAGTGGCTGTACCTTTATACATTCCCACCAGCAATGTTTGAGTGATCTGGTGTCTCCTCATCACCAGCAATTGGTGTTGTCACTATTTTTTATTTTAGCCGTGCTGATAGGTATGTAGTGGGGATGGTTGTTTTTTAGTTTGCACAGGATGTAGTCGATTTGTTACTAGGTTAAATACAGAATTATACATTTCTATGGTCTGTGGTCAGACTTTCATGGGCCACTTGAACCCAAAGTAGTGACTTATTTACCATGTGATTTTGAGTACATGCTCCTTAGTTTAGCAAGGTGAAAGAACTCACAGTACACCTGCTCTTCGCATAAAATTTTTTTCTTCTTATCCTCTCCCCTAGGTTTGTACATTAGTTTCAATTAAGTAATTTCAAATCAAGAGCCCACCTTACATTGATTCATACACCCCATAATGTCTTTGGTATGACATCTATATTCATGACACCACCCTCAGTTGAGAATTCGTGTTCATCTATCATCTGTGTCAGAACCTATAAGGTGTTATTCAATGAGCCCCATGTGATGTTGGCCTAGGAATGGCTTTGGGGAACTTTGCTTCCAATTCCTAATGAATTCTTCAGTTTCATTTCGTTAGACTTTATACACCTCAGAAATAAGAATTGGTGTCACTGATTTGCAGTGAGGGGGGGCTGTAGTTTGGGGGAAGATCTCCCCAATTCCAATACCACCCCATCCCTACAAATTTTATTTACCCTCAAGAACTAGTTCCTTAGTTCAGTCTTTTGAACCACTTAGTTTGAGTAGCCCAGCTAAGTAAAAACAGAACTTCCACTTAAAAAAAAAAAAAACTTACTGTTTTTATGCAAACAGGGGAACTCTCAACCAAACCTACTCAGAAACATTTTGTGTATATCTTACTTTGAATTAAAACATTAGAGATCTGGCCTTCTCAAAGTTACAAGCATAATTGCAGTTTTTAGAATCATGTGCTCTAAGCCAGATTCTGATAGTAAGAAGGAACTTTTTAAAGTGGTTTTAGTTTCTGAATTATTTATTGCAGCAATAATTTAGTAGTGGCTGTTTTTTTTTAACTTGCTGTTAACTTTTTTCAATCATTAGAGCTAAATTCACCAACTCACCGCTAGAGGTCTCCTCTTTCCTTATAGAAAACTCCCCGAGGTAGCTGCTTGAATTCATCTGCAATTTCTAAAATCAATTAGCACAGGCACAGTTGAAAATGTAAAAACCTACCAATTTTTTTTATCTTTATTGCCAAGTAAAATTTTTATAATCATGTTTAAATTATTTTAAATATAACATCTAATATGTTTAGAGGTCATAGTGGGTGTAAATTTAGTCTTTCCTTTAAGCTGAATTACAAGGTGAACCAAAATGAATCAAGTGAAAGTACTCAATTTTCACAGACCACTCTAATTTACCTGCTTAATAACAGTCACTCTGGTTTTACCTTTCTCTATGGAAATATACTAACCATTGAAGATTACTAATTAGCAAATATTTATTAAACTCTTGAATTAGGGGGATGGGAATGTGCTAGGTGCTAAGAAAAATAGCAATGAATAAGATGTGATCCTTGCTGTCCTTTTTGCTCTGCATACTTTTCTTTTTTTCTGCCTAACTCAAAACCCTTAATTATCCTTTAAGACCCATCTCAAAAGACACCTCTAGTGTGAAGCCTTCTCTTCACTCCTCTCGGCTCTCACAGAACTTGTTCATACCTCTATTAAGATATATAGCATATTACTTATTTGTTTTTATGTTGTCTGTCTTCATTAGACTATACATTCTGTGAGGACAAGGAACCTTGTCTTTCTGTGTCTCTGTTGTTTTTGTAATCTTACCATTGTATCTCTGGCAGTAGGTATAGCAGACATTCAATTAATACTTATTGAGTGAATGAATGAATGGACGGATGGAGATGGCATTTGAATGAGGTCTCGAGGTTGGGTAAGATTTCCACAGACAGGATGGGGATGTGGGGCGGCGAGGGACAGTAAATAGGACAGCCTGAGTTGAAGTTGGAAAGCCCAGATAAATGAAATTGGCAGCCAGTCGAGTTATCAAAGGTGGGCACAGGTGGAGAGAGCTTTAACAAAAAGCGAGGAAGGGCTGAAAACAAGAGAGTGATAGCAGGGGGTAGGTTGCAGGAATGAAGGCAGATGATGGTAGAAAAGAGATGAAGAGGAGCGCCTGGGTGGCTCAGTTGGTTAAGCGTCTGCCTTCCGCTCAGGTTATGATCCCAGGATCCTGGGATCGAGCCCCGCTTCGGGCTCCCTGCTCAGCGGGGAGCCTGCTTCTCCCTCTGCCTGCCGCTCCCCCTGCTTGTGTGCTCTCTCTCTCTCTCTGTCAAATAAATAAAATCTTAGATGAAGAGGGGAGATGATCCCAGGTTCTGTCCTCAGATCTCATCTCTCACTGTTCTAGAACCTCAACATCTTCAGTCACTTCTTGGCTCTAAGGCCTCTTTCTAGTCTTCTTTTTCCCCAGTTCTAGTACCATCCAGGACTGAGGAAAAAGCCCTGGACTGGAAGGAGGGAGAAGTAGGTTCACGTTTCAGTGCTGCCACCAATTAGCCATGAGCGAGTCCTTTTAAATGTATGCATTTATTAATACCCCACCTTGTTCCAGAAGGGATTTAGGGTGTCAGCAAGTTTCTTAATATCAGGGCTTCAGTTTCCTCATCTGTAGATGGTCTAGGTAGTCTAAATTCATTCCAGTTCTCCCATTTTGTGACTCTGATTCTAATGATTTGTTGGTTATCTCCACTTAGAAGTTCTGCTAACACTTCATATTTAGAATATGAAAAACCGGGGATGGAGGTGAGGGAAACCTACAACCTGTCCTCCTGACATTGACATGTGGCATCACCATCCAACCAGTGACCTGGGACCAAAACTTAGTGTCCTCTTCAACTATTCTGGCCCTTGTCTCAGCATCTCACTGAGCCATGTGGAATCCACCCTGTAATGTCATTCCCATTCTTCCCCCATTTGGTCCTTTCCCATGGCCACATGTAGTTGAAGCCCTTGTTAGCTGTCTCTCTGTTCTGTTCTGTTGACCCTCAATCTTGATGCTGTTGTCCAAGTAATATTCTGAAGCATAGCTCTAACAATGCCAGTACTCTTTGCTTAAACTTCAGTGATCCAACTGCCTGCAGCAGACAGTCCAAATTCCCTTGCTGGTCATGTGAGACCCTTCCTGATGTGACTGTGTAAATTGTCTGCCTCCTCTTCTAAAGGATCCCCATGTACTCACCAGACTGAACTACAACATGCCTTAAACGTTTCTGCCTCAGCTAATCACTTGACATACCTTCTCCCATTGAAATCCTGGTCCATTCTTATTTTAACTCTTTGAGGAATCTTTCAGGTTCTGTCATTTATTTTAACTACCTGGTAACTTGTTTTAGCTCACTCCACCCTGCATTCAGTTTTCAGCAGCTCAAAGGCAGAAACCACATTTCATTTATCTTTGTTTTCCCCCAACATAGCATACTACTAGAGAAACTTGAACTGAAATAAATCAGATTGAGACTCAGTTCAGAAATCACTTTCTCAACTCAGGGTTATAAATTTTTACAGCTGAAAATCATCTAAGCAAATCACCTTTTACAAGTGAGAAAACCTAGGGTCAGCGAGGTGAAGTTACTTGCCCAGTCTTTCCTAGCTGCGCTTGCACAGTTCTTTGCACTGTTTTGGTGATAGTACTTGCAGCCTTGGCATAGAGAGGTCTGTTTTCATGTCTCCTCTCCCTCCCTGGCTATAAGCATCTTTTTTTTTTTTAAGATTTTATTTATTTATTAGAGAGAATGAGATAGCATGAGAGGGGAGAGGGTCAGAGGGAGAAGCAGACTCCCTGCTGAGCAGGGAGCCCGATGCGGGGCTCGATCCTGGGACTCCAGGATCATGACCTGAGCCGAAGGCAGTCACTTAACCAACTGAGCCACCCAGGCATCTTAACGTTGACACACTGCTCCTAGGTGATTTCAGTTTGTCGTTTTGCTACTGGAAATGTAGACTGGGAGCAGAGCTGGTTTCAGCAAATGTGTGGGTGTACTGCCTGGATGGACATCTGCTGGCAACACTGTGGGCAGACTCCAATTGAGGGGTGAAGAGTGAAACTTAATTAACATCAAGGCTGGAAGGAACCTTAGAGACCATCCAGTCCAGCCCCTCTTTTCTGCTGCAAAGAAACCAAGAAACAGAGACAGGAGTGACTTGCTCAAAAACTTTGAGTGGCAAATGACTCATCAGCTTTATTGGCACAAGAGCATTGACTTTGAAATTGTAAAGTAAGTTACTGGATGTATGGGACTCAGATTGCCAGCTAATGATCTAATATGGATACTGTTTTGTGTGTCTAGATCAAATGATGCTGTTTGGAAAAATTTCCCAGCAGTTGTGTGGCTTAAAGAAACTCCCATGGTCATGTGACTGCAGAAACTTCTGGGGTTGGTTGAATGCAGTATTTAATAAGTAAGTTACTTTAACTGAAGTGAAGAAACATGGGGATTATTACAGCTAGATGAGTTCCCAGTAGCTAATTTAGTTAGTTATTGTATTTCAAATGCTTTTTTGTATAGTGTGTGCAATAGGATCCTAATTTTGTTTAAAAACAAAACATACACACAGACATTGAATAAAGACCAGAAAAATAGATTACAAAATATTAACTGACTACGTTGTAGGATTTCAATGATTTTTCTTATTTGTCCTTTTGATGCTTTTCAAGTTTTCTAAAATGAAAATATATTATTTTTATAACCAGAAAAGCTCAGCAAATGTAATTTTAGAATATACTATGGCTTGGGGCGCCTGGGTGGCTCAGTTGGTTAAGTGTCTGCCTTTGGCTCAGGTCATGATCCCAGCATCCTGGGATCGAGTCCCGCATCGGGCTCCCCGCTCCTTGGGAGCCTGCTTCTCCCTCTGCCTCTCTCTCTCTGTCTCTCATGAATAAATAAAATCTTAAAAAAATATATATATACTATGGCTTAAGGGATATAGTTAGCCTTTGAATACTACCAAGGTGACTCAAGTTTTTCAAAAAGTGGGTGGCATACTTAGAAATACCATTTTGAAACTAATGAAACTAATCTTGTTGCTTAATACAGCGTTAACATGACTCATTAGAGAGAAGGGTATATGTAGAAATTAGTAAGTATCACTTAATGAGATTAATTTGAACATAGATTCAAAATTATTCCCTTTTATATTTTATCATTAATAAAAACAATAACCAAGTATAGTCATTCACTCAATACATGGTTACTGAGTCAAGCACAGTGCTACATATGAATCAATGAAGACTCATGCCTGCCTGATAAACTCATATAAAAATAATAGGCCTTGACTGAGTTCACCTGGAAACAAAAACAAGGGAGCAGAAAGAGCCATCGTATGTTTTTTTTACTGGCTCTTCCTAATATACTTCTCTCCCTCCTCAGTCATTTGAAAGGAAAAGTTGTTGAAGTACTGTATTTATGCTGATGACTAAAGTTAAGAAGCTAGTGAATATACTAAAATCGAACCGCTTTTGTTCTCTTGCCAACAGAGTGGATTATGAACGCATCAAGGATGTGGGACCCGATAGGGCAGCATCTGAGTGGCTGCTGCGCTGTGGGGCCACGGTGCGCTACCATGGCCAGGAGAGGTGGCAGAAGGACTACAACCACCTCCCAACTGGACCTCTGGACAAATACAAGATTCAGGCAATTGATGCCACCGACTCTTGTATCATGAGAATTGGATTTGATCACCTGGGTAACTACCCTGTCATTTGCTTATGGGAAATGTAGGTGATTTGCAATGACATTTTGTTGCAGGTGACTCACTGTTATAGTCATAGGTGTGTTCCTTTTTGCCCTTTCCAGTATCGTCCAGTCTTTATTCCTGTGTGTGATTGTTTAAAATTAAATAGAGGTTACAAACGCCTTCTTCTCCTTCCTCCCTTCACTAAGCTTGTCTCTACATGCCTTTATTTTGTGCTTATTGGTTTAAAATTCAAGGCCTTGTTTATCAAACTATCTTTGTCAAATTTCCGTCGTTTGAGAAACTCTTAATAATGTAAGAATGATCATACCCATACATTTTCTGCTTGCGTGGGCATTTCTTTCCTCTAGTACTTGGGCATCTGATTACAGAATGGTCCTGTCCATCAGCACAACCTGTATAGTGAATACCTTGTATGGTTATTAGGGTAACTCATCATCCAAGTTTTCCAGGGACTAAGAGGTTTCCCGGGACATAGGATTTTCAATCCCAAAACCAGAATAGTCCTGGCTGAACTAGGACAGTTGGTTATCTTAATGGTAAAGCAGGTTCTTAAAATGTACCTTTTATCTCCCAGAGGGCCTACAGCATGTTGAAAAAATAAGACTATGCAAGTGTCATTATATTGAGGATGACTGTTTGGAGAGACTTGGTAAACTTGAAAATTTACAGAAAAGCATATTGGAAATGGAAATAATTTCATGTGGGAATATCACAGACAGAGGCATCATTGCTTTATATCACTTAAGGTAGGTGGTCAGTGCCAAAATGGAAACTTGATAATTAGGTTAAAATGAATAATTAGAATTTAAATTAAAAAGAATTTTTTTAAGTAAACTCTATCCATAGTGTGGGGCTCGAACCCTCAACCCTGAGATGAAGAGTTGCATGCTCTATCAACTGAGGCAGCCCAGTGCCCTGAATAATCAGAATTTAAAACAGTTGAGGGGCGCCTGGGTGGCTTAGTCTAAGCGTCTGCCTTTAAGTCATGATCCCAGGGTCCTGGGATTGAGCCCCACATCGGGCTCCTTGCTCGGTAGGGAGCCTGCTTCTCTCTCTCCCACTCCCCCTGCTTGTGGCCCCTCTCTCGCTATCTCTCTCTGTCAAATAAATAAAATCTTTCAAAAAATAAATAAAACAGTTGAGAGGTGGCACCCTTTTTTAATTTGGAAAAAAATACATAAAATGACTTAACTTTCATCTGTAATACTTTCAAACAGTTAAAATTATCAACCTTAATACATTAATGTTTTATTGCATTTCTTAGGGGACATCTCTTTAAAAAAGTATTTACTTAATAAATATTTATATTTGGCTGCTGCGCTACCATGGCCAGGAGAGGTGGCAGAAGGACTACAACCAACTTATTATTAATTATAATAATTATTTGTTAATAATTAAGGCACCTAGCATGGTGCCTGCTCCAGTAAGCGGCCAGTGCATTTGCTATTATGCTTCCTCTCCCTCTTAAAGCATTTTTTCCCCATGTTCTGACAGTAACCTCAGTATCACAGGAAGTTTAAGCAATTTTATTTTATTTTTTTTAGTAATTTCTATACCCAATGTGGGGTTCAAACCCACGACCTCAAGATCAAGAGTTGCATGCTCTTCTGACTAAGCCAGCCAGGCATTCTCCGCTTTTTTTATTTCTTTTTAGTAGAGAAATTTTAAACATTGGAACCAAAAGTAGTAGATTGTCTCTTACATTAGTTGAGGCTTTGAGACTTCATCTTTTAATGAAGTTCCTTTAAGAACTTTCCCAATTTTTTTCCCTTTCTAGATTAAGATTCATATTTCGTATTTCACATGCAAAGGAGTTCTATGCTATACTACATCTGTAGTATTTGGAAAGATTCACCTAGAATTATTGATGTAATTCAGAACAACTAAACTTCCCAAGGTTTGGCTTAGTTCCTAGCATGAATTTCATTTAAAGTCGCATTCTTAAAATTGCTGTTCTAAGAGTCATTTTGAAAGTATAGTATAGTGTGATATAAGTGCATTCTGTGTGTCATTTTTTCTAAAAGCCTTTAATGGAGTTTAATTTTAATGCTGTAAGAGTAAAGGCCAACTGTAGTAAATTTTTTTTTCTTCTTTTTTTGCAGAAACCTCAAGTATTTGTTGTTAAGAGATCTTCCTGGAGTAAGAGAAAAAGAAAACCTTATCCAAACCTTTAAGACAACACTGCCTTCTCTGGAACTAAAGTTAGACTTGAAGTAAAATAATAATATTCGATAGGTGTCTTATTTCAATATACAGTATCATTTGAAATTGTTGACCCTAAACAGCAACAAATATTATATAATCATCAACAGACCTTAAGGATGTCATATCATGACATTTCAGAAGCAGAGTCCATCATGTAGAGAATAAAATATTCAGACATGACTCAGTCTATGCACATTAAATCATTTTAAGTGGAAACCGGGTAGCAGTTTAATTCTAATATATTCCTCATTTTATATATCTTGTAGATAACTCTTGATGTAGATAATGACAGAGTTCTTTAAAGTGATTTAAGGGCGCCTGGGTGGCTTAGTTGGTCAAGCATTTGCGTTCGGCTCAGGTCATGATCCCAGAGTCCTGGGATTGAGCCCCTCATCAGGCTCCCTGCTCAGCCGGGAGCCTGCTTCTCTCTCTGCCTCTCCCCGCCTCTCCCCATGCTTGTGCGCTCTCTCTCTGTCAAATAAATAAAATCTTTGAAAAATATATTTTAAAAAACTAAAAAAAATTGATTTAACTGTGCAACAGATATTCTTTATTGTACTTTATCAGTAATTTATAGGACTGTTACCTTTTACTTTAAAGTTACTGAAGCATGCTACTATAAATATACAATGAGAAACTGAAAGCTAAATTTCAGATTCATTGGTGGAGCCAGTCATAAAAGGCGGTCAGTGGTTGTTGAGGCATTCATATTGCTTCCCAGGATTTGCATGTATTTTTCATGATCCTACGTTCCTGTGTTCTTTATAACATACACCTTTCTCTGGCTAATCTGTTTTGTAAGCTTAGTCGAGGGTTTTATTAAAACTAGACATAAATACTTGGCTGAATTCAAATGGTTTTGCTGACTGCAATAAAACAGAAGAAATGATCATGAAGACCAGCACAATTATACTTATTTTTGCTTAAATTAAAATATTGCTTTAAATAGAAAATTTTAACATGTCAGTTAGAAACTAATTTTTTTTTTTAAAGATTTTATTTATTTATTTGAGAGAGAGAGAATGAGAGATAGAAAGCACGAGAGGGAAGAGGGTCAGAGGGAGAAGCAGACTCCCCGCCGAGCAGGGAGCCCGATGCGGGACTCGATCCCGGGACTCCAGGATCATGACCTGAGCCGAAGGCAGTCGCTTAACCAACTGAGCCACCCAGGCGCCCCTAGAAACTAATTTTTATTCCCCCACACATCTTGGATACTGCTTCCTATGGGCTCAGGGGACATCAAAAAGAAGTGCAAAAAAAAAAAAGGTATAAGCGCGAAATTCAGTTTATATCTAGAGAGCAGTGACAAAGAATATCATATGGATAAAAACAGATCTTTATTTTTACCTTGAAATGGCCCTAGTTCTATTACTGTTAATTATATGCCAACTTGTTTGTAGATTTCTGTATGTTTGGTTTGAACATTATGCTCTTAACTATAACCTTGACTAGAAATAATTTTAAAATAAACACTGTATGATGCAGCATTTGGGTAGAAAAATGAATTTTAGTTGTGTTTAGAAGCCAGCTTATGTAAATAGCACATGCCATAATTGATATACTATTTACAAATAAAATTGCCACTGTCAATTATAAAATCAGAACACAGTAAATTAAAAAAAAAAAGACTAGGATGTAGAACAGTCCCGTGAAACGGTGAATCCATGCTGAACGAAGGATTACAGATGTGGTTAAATTAAGCATTGGTACACATTTAATAGAACTCATTAGAAAAAATGAACGCTTCCATCTCAGATTTGTTTGATTATTGTGTGGTGAGGCAATGGATTCACAATTTAGTCTAGAACTACTTTTGTATTCTGAATGGTTTTCTATAAAACTACTGAATGAATTAGGCAGTTACAGTCATCTGCCTCGTCAAGGGCATTGTTTTGTGTTAAAAAGGAAAACAAAATGTCAACAGAAGTGGGATGTCCTTCCTTGTCATTTGAATCAAAGCCACGTGAGAAGAATTAGATACTGCTGGGACTAATATTTAACCCGTCAGCTCTTCGCCAGAAGCTACATGCATCCGGGAGCCTCAGGGTATCATTCAACTGGCTGGAGTAGCGAAAATTATTGAACAGACACCCGAATTTGGTGAGTTTACTTAGCAGTAAGTGAATAAAGTCAAATGCTGTCATGAAGGAAGTTACCAGAGCACAGAAGGAAGGTTTTGAAGAGACAGTAAAATACAATTTCAAAGAGCATGGCTGGGAACCACTGAGGAAGAAGCAGCAGAACATGAATCAAAACTGGCAGTGGACGTGAGCTTCATCTTGCCCTTGCGTTCAGGGACGAGAATGAGAAAGCGTTTGGAACAGGAGCGGCAGGCCAAGTCAAAGCTAATTATATGTCATCCTTTGAAGTATCACGAGACAAAGCTAGGAGTCCTCAGTGTCATTTTGGACTCCTTTCTTATTAGTTACCAGTTCTTAGCATAGTATATGTACACACACACGTGTGTAGGTATTTATATACACACATACATACATACAGTATCAAAAGGCATTTCAGGGACAATCTCAGTTTACAACCTAATGTCTTTCATGGTCTGAGTAAAAACCCACAAGCAATTTCTTCCAAAACCCAAATCATTATAGATAGATAGTCCTGCCTGTACATCTGTCTCCAAGTCTGAGGCGGAGCTGGAGAGAATGAACTAATTACTTTCAGGCTGATAGGCTCGGTTCCCGTGAAGCCTGTAGGTCTTGTTCTACTCCTTGATTCAAGCCTTGGTCAGTTGCCAGACTTCACACCATGGTTTGCAAGGGGAACTGGGTCACCTGGGGAGGGGTTATGTAAACCCATCTTGCCTGCAAAAATGACTAAGATGCAGCCTTTACTAAAGGTAAAGACAAAAGTATATGTAAGAAATGTCTACAAACATCATTAAATATGCAAGCAAGTCATGCTGTTACAATAATCCATGATTTTAAGTATTTTGAACAAAAATATTCTAAATGTTTTAAAATATGAAAATCTAGAGGTAGAGCAAGGAGGAAATAGAATTGTAAGCATTTTGATTTCAGGAACTAAAACTCTTCTTAAATATGATGTTGAGACAGTCTGAAAAGGCAGGGGATAGGACTCAAGGCAAAAGCTCTGCAAGAAATACATATGGGTATTTTGTAATCCATTTTTCACTTGTTGCATATGGTACAATAGAAGCATAAATACTCACATTTCTAATTTTGCCAGAGATAGGGGTAGTAAGTACAGTTTTTATTTCTGTCCTTTAGCTTAGCTACTTAGCTAAAACAAAAATGCAAGTGAAAACCCAAACAAGTGTTTCCTTTCCGTTCTGATCACCATCGTGAAGCCTGGAAGGCTGCCTCCGGAATTTCCCTTTATGTTCTGCCAGGTGGCCTCCCCCCTTCCCCCCCCCCCGCCCCATTTGTTATGTTTTCTCCTGATGTTCTTTCAACATCATGATTGTTTTCAAGCAAATGTATACATTTCATTTTCTCCAAATTATTAACTCCTTTTTCATCATCCATCTCCAAGCTCCTTAAATGTTTGGAAATTGGCAGTTCAGTTTCTTCATATTCCAGTAGTACTTCTTATTATCCAAAGCTGGAAGGAAGCCGCTGCTTGTCAGCTGAGGTAGGCCCTGCAACTACAAATACAAAACACAGAATGAGGTTCAATGCTGTGTGTTCTTTTTGTTATTGAGTACATAGCCCAAAAGAGGTAAGTAAGTCAATTTTTCAGCCCAGAAATACTTTTTCTGCACAGAATCCAGGACCTGAGGACAAAATGTTTAAATTTGTTCTTTTCCTTTTAAAGATTTATTTTATATTAAAAAGCAAAACATGCACATTCAAGAAAATTTAGAGAATATGAAAAAGAAAAATTGACATGTTAACATTATTGGGAAAAAAACCATAGATTTACAGGAGGTAAGAGCTTGCTAGAGCCTCAGGGATCATTTAAGCCAAAGCTTGTCATGCCAGCAAAGAAAACTGACGTCTGGAGCACTTAAGTGATTTGCCCCCTTACACCTTAGTTCAAAAGGCAAAACGACTCCCTTCATGCCCCCAGAAAATGTTTGAATTTATTGTCAATATCAAATGAAAGGATATATGTATTTTGTACTACATGGCCTTAGGTATTTGCAAAGTGGTTACTTCTTAATACTTAAAACAGTTGAATCCTTCAGAACCTATATGCAATACATCAATTAGTGGGTTCCCCTATTCTTTCAAGTAGAAATATTCCCATCAAAGACCCTTTACTCTTGAACACAAAGGAACAGCAAGCTAAGTGGTAACTCTGGGGGCAGGGGCGGTTGTCTATTCCGGCCTGTTTTGTTACCTGGGTCATATATGACAGAGAATAAAATAAAGCTTTCTTAATTTTGTGACTCTGGTCTATCTCAGGACCCTGCAGTTTATGCTGTACCTATTCCTAATGGATTGTCCATCCTCTTCTCTCTTCCAAACCTCACATACACCACCCAGATGCCATTCAGCACACTGGGCAGTGGAGGCTGCCAGGGGAAAGACTAGGGCATAATAATTTACAGATTAAGGCCTCCCTGAGCAGATCCAGAAGGGACCAGGAGTAGCCAGCTCATCTTAGTTGTGGTTCTAACTACAGTCCATTCTAAATTACTAGAGCTTTTGGCTTACAACAAGTCGCTTAATGTAAGGCTACTATGCCTACTTCAGTCATGTTCTTCACGGGCTCCCAGTGTGCAGCTGGGATGCTGTTCTGATAAAATAAGCTGTTCGGCTGATACCACTGAGAGCACGCACCACCGAATCTATCCTAGCCAACTCTGATGATTAAAGGATGCGAGGGGAAAACGGTTCCATTTTTGGATAAACCTGGAATGTCAGTCAATACTGAAAGTAAACATGATGACAGAGAGCTGCCTGGGATCAATTGGATTTTATTCTCCAGAGCACAAAAAGCAGGCTCTGGGGGGCTCAGCCCTGCGCTCATGCATGACGCCGTCCGGGGCTGCTTTGCGGCAGCAGGGAAGGAACTGCAGGGAAGGACACCTGCAGGATGCAGGGAGAAGGGGCCCTGGGACGCAGACGCGTCTGGTGCCCTGGCTGAGAGATCATAGGACCTTTCTCCTCGTGCTGGAATGAGGGTGCTGGAGCTGCAAGCCGCAACTGCCACCTCCAGTCGGAGATGCAGATTCTCTGCACCAGGTGGCAGGCATGAGATCAT